CCACTAACTGCTCTGACTGGGATCACAACAGAGGGTCCTGGGCAGAGCTGGAAAAGGATGTAGAACAGAATTCTATCTCACAAAAAAAGACCAGATTTACTGGCCTGACAGACTGTAAAAACCCCAGGAGTATGGCCCCCAGACACCCTTTTAGCTCATTGGTGAAGCCCCTCCCGAAGTTCACCATTCAGCAGGGGATTGGACAGCCTCATAAAACAAAATGGGACTAATGAGGCACCACAGTCCAGGGACAAGGACTAGAAGGCAGGAGGGGACTGGAAAGCTGGTGATAGGAAACCCAAGGTTGAGAAGGGACAGTGTTGACATGTCATGGGGTTGTTAACCATTGTCATAGGGCAATATGTGTCCTAAATGTTTAATGAGAAACTATTTGTTCTGCAAACCTTCATCTAAGGTACAAAAAACATAATAATTATCTATGTGAGATCAAATTGACAATAGCAACTCAAAAGGTTTGATGGGAAGCCTAGGGGACAGTGAGTTGAAGATAATGGTGATGGAATAATTTGGAAAAGGATAGTGAAAATAGCAGCACAACTTGAAGAATGTAATCGATGTCATTGAATTGTACATGTAGAAACTTTCAAAATGGTGTAACTTTGGCTATGTATATTTTCACCGAAGAAAAGGTTCTCAAGGTCGAGAAAGGAGAGTGTTGACATCTCGTGGGGTTGTTAACCAATGTCATGAAACAATATGTGTACTGTTTAATGAGAAACTATTTGTTCTGTAAACCTTTATCTAAAGTACAATAAAATATATTTTTTTAAAAATCTTCAATATCTTCACGTTAGGCCTTAGTGGTTGGTGCGTAAATTTGAATGACACTCGTATTAACTGGTCTATCTTATAGGCATACGGATGTTATCTTATCACTGACAGCACTGTACTTCAGGATAGATCTTGAAATGTTCTTTTTGATGATAAATGCAACACCATTCCTCTTCAATTTGTCATTCCCAGCATAGTAGACCATATGATTTTATGGTTCAAAACAGCCAATACCAGTCCATTTCAGCTCGCTATTGCCTAGGATATTGATATTTATTTGGTCCATTTCATTTTTGATGACTTCCAATTTTACTTGATTCATATTTCATACATTACACATTCTGATTATTCAAGGATCTTCGCAGCTGTTTCTTCTCATCTTGAGTCATGCCATATCAGCAAATGAAGGTCATGAAAGCTTGACTCCATCCACATCATTAAGGTCAACTCTGCTTTGAGGAGGCAGCTCTTCCCCAGTTGCATTTTGAGTGCCTTCCAACCTGAGGGGCTCATCTTCCAGCACCATATCAGAGAAAGTTCCACTGCTATTCATATGGTTTTCACTGGCTGATTTTTTTCAGAAGTACACTGACAGGTCCTTCTTCCTAGTCTGTCTTAGTCTGGAAGCTCAGATGAAACGTAGTGCTACTATAACAGAAACACCACAAGTGGCTGTCTTTAACAAACAGAAATTTATTTTAGCACAGCTTAGGAGGCTAGAAGTCTGAATTCAGAGCACTGGCTCTCAGGGAAGTCTTTCTCTCCGTTGGCTCTTGTCTCTTGGTGAAGGGCTGTGGGGACCATGGTCTCGGGGAACATCTAGCTCAATTGGCATGACACAGTTTATAAAGACAATGTTCTACATTCTATCTTGGTGAGTAGCGTCCCCACAGCCCTCCGCCTAGCAATTCAGTCCCTCAGGGAGTTTGGAAGTGACTATGGAGCTTCCATGACCTTTCCCTGTACAAGTTGTGCTGGCTTCCCCAGTAATCTGTACTGTCTTACCTTCACCAAGAGGAAGGCTTTTGTCTTTTCTAAGCTTTGTTCCTGGATGGTTAAAGTTGATTGGCATCTGTTCCTGGATGATTAAGGTGGCTTGGTATTTCTCTTCCCCCATCTCTACTTCTTTTGATTGCTTGTTTAATCTCTTTTATATCTCAAAAGAGATTGACTCTAGACAAACCCTACTCTAAGCCTGTGCCATTAACAAAGACAACCCATTCCCAAATGAGATTATAACCACAGGCATAGAGGTGAGGATTTACAAGACATATTTTGGGGGGACACAATTCAATTCATAATATCTCTCTACTCAACCCTTCTCACTATACTCAATGAGCTGAAGCTAGTCAATAGTACCTGGTAACAGAAAAGGGACAGTATAAGTTTTCACTGAATTATTACAATATTGCCTTGAATTCATTTATTTAGTGAGAGGACATTTCTGTTCTGATGATGGTGACATCAAGCATGTCAAGGTAAAACAGCACTATGTAATGTAAGACTTACATTGATATTCTATTTTATTGAAAAATGAAACATTTTGCAATTGTCAAGAAGTTTATCTGCAAAAAAAATATAAAAAAACAGTGATACTATTTTATAAGAGCTGTGCACAAACACAAGTTGCAGAATTTTTATCAATTAAAGAAAAAGAGCAGTATAGTTATGATATTTTGTCCCAGGTGTAAAGACTACTTGATAGCTATTCTATAGCCTCACATTAATTTTTATTCATGAATGAATCTGAATTTCTAGATTATGCTCTGTAAATGGCATTTATTATTAGAGTTTACACATCAGTCTTTGCAGATTTCTTCATGGATGATTAACGTCACTAAAAACTCCAGGTTATCGTCAATGAACTTTAAATTGTAACATCACATCTCCATTTATTGATAGGCAGTGGTGTCATATATTCCCATCCAATTATTTCCCCAACACTATTAGTTGCAATCCCACTAACAACCGCTAGGGTGAGATGAGACGGGCATGTCTTCAATCTCTACGTGGAATCTTGCCGATTGTACAGCATCATTATATCCGCCCAAGATGCAGGTGTAGATCAAGGAGAGCCCATCGTCAACCAGCTCTGCGCACAACCTGCGCGGGGTGAACCGCGGTCCGCGCCTTCTCTTTGCTTGCTGGGCGTGGGGCGCCTCCCGCAGAGCTGATGGCCCAGGTGTGGCGAAGCGATGACGCTTCCCCTAACCTTGAGGACCAGGAGGCCGTGGAAAGTCGTTGGGAGGATGCGTGGAGGCTGCGGGGGAGGAAGACGGCAGCGCAGAGGGACACGCAGGGGAAGCTCCAGCCCTTCCAACAAGGGAGCCCAGCTCCAGGGATCCCGCAGCTTCCTCCATCTTGGTTGATGGAGGCAGGAACGGCGTCTGAGTCTCTCCACCGTCGCGCCTGCCCTCCTCGGCCCCTCAGGGGCCGACCCTCGAGGCAAGGGCGGCTCCCCCGGCCGATTCGGGGAGCCCAGGGGGGCTTCTCGGGGACAAGCTCCCCAGCCCCACGCGGCTTCGCCTTGAACTAGCCCCAAGGTCCCACAGCGTCCCGACAAAATGGAGGACGTTGTCTCCTGCTGCTGCAGCCATGACGAGAGTCAGGGGACTCTGCCCCACTGGACGAGGAGAGAGTGGAAGGACCTCCACTCCTCTCAGAGCACTCAGGAACCCACTGCGCCATCGGCCTCTGCTCCCCATTCGGCCGGACCCCAGCCCTTCCCCACTGTGCCCCTCGCCCCCAGGGGATTCAAGGAATGGACTGGGAGGGTACTCGGGGCATCGAGGCTGGGTCTCTCCTCAGGCAAAGACGTTCCGGGCCGCTACAGGGGCCTGCGTGCCCAGGGCGGAGCGAAGGAGGACAACGCCAGCCTCGGTCTCTCACTGTCCTCGGCTTGGGGAGCCCGCTGGTGCTCCTGAGAGCCAGCCGGCGTCCGGTGCACTAGCGCATACAGCTCAGGTCTGCCAGACTGAGACGGCCTAGGTGCCCTGGGGGCGGTGTACCGAGGGGAGGGGACAAGGAAGGGGCGGCAGGCATGGCGTGAAATGGAAACGTCGAGGGGTGCGGCCTGTGTCTGATGGATAACCCTTTGGACCACTTCATCGAGGAGAGGGTCCTGAAGGAAGGCAGATCGAGCCAATTGACGTGCCGGGAGCGCCGCGGCCCGCCTTCCCCGCCAGCCAATGAGGGGCGGGGGCGGGGCCTCCCCTGGCTTTGCTGCGCCGCCAGCGCCTCCTCCTCTTCCTCCTCCTCTTTCTCGTCAGCGATAAACCCGGGACTGGACCGAGTGGAGTTGTGCGTGTTACCGAAACGGGGGTGGGCCTGGGGAGGGGAGGTTCGCTCCGCGGAGCTGCAGCCAGAACCGGGTGAGGTTTGCCCCACTGTCTTCCAGTCCAGATCCGCTGATAAATGAGGGTGGCTGGGAGCAGCGCTGCTTCCGGAGGAGGCGGAGGTGGAGGCCGCTGGGGAGGCAGAGATGGGTTAGGGAGCCTCCCACCCACCCGGAATTAATGCCCTGCGGCGCTACCTCCGTCGCCGCTGCCGCGCAGGGTCTTTGGGGGCTCCTCCGGGAGCCACTCATGTTACCGGTGCCTTTCCGGGCGGCCCGAAGGGCCGGGAGGGCGGGGTGAGACGGGGGTCGCTCGGGGCGGGGGTGGCCCCGGGCGGCGTCCTTGGGGAGGTTGCTGAGGTATTTTCCTTTGTTTTCTGCGGGCGGAGGCGAGGAAGGGGCACCTCTGTTCGCGCTCCCGCTTTCCGGGCTGCAGTCCCCAAGTTTTTCGGGGCGAGGGCTGCCGCCACTTCCCTGCCGGGTCCCTACTTAGCTCTGATCGCTCTGACCCTCTCTAGCGCTGCGCGGCTGCGGCTCGTAACGTCTTACTTGGGTGAGTTTCTTCTAATGGCGAACATGGAGCCAGTTGTTGACTGTGGGGAAGGGGCGCAAACCTCAGGCTTAGGACAGCTGCTTGGGGCAAATATGGGGCATATTGGTCCAGCAGGGATGCGAACCGCCCCTTACCTGGGATTTGGCTCTGGAGTGACGGGGATGATGCTGGGTGGGTAAATTTAGGCAGGAATACAATCCCTTCTCCAACCTTCCGTTAAGTATTTCGCATTGTGAGGTAGTTGTGGTTCTTAATCTTTTTTTTTTTTTTTTGGTTTTTTTTTTTAAATATTTTATTGTACTTCAGGTGAAGGCTTAAACATGGCTTCTCTACAAAATTGAGGTGGGGGAGGGTAGAAAAGCTCCCAGACTCCTTGACCACTTAAACCTTTGCCTCCTGCCACTGGTGGTTAACAGTTGGTGCTGCCTACAGGTCGGAAGTAAATCATTCTTATTTCTCCTCTCATTTTAAGACCAGGAACCATCCTCAGCCCTGTTTGGTGAACCATTGGCAGAAATTAAGAAGGAAAACATCCTCATTGTGAGTCATTTTACCTCGCTTTTCTAATAGACTTGGTGCCATAGTTGGGTGTTCTTCCTGTGGGATTTGTGTTTCTGTTACCTTGAAGGGGAAGAGCTAATTGCCTGGGTAGCAGCTGTCCCCACAGTCAAGGCAGGGTAGTTTCTGGGAAGAAACTGGGAGCAGGCGCTGGTATTTACACCACTGGTACTCCTTGGAGTTCTCAAGTAAGACTTGAAGTTAATTCCTTTTTAACTGTTTCGCCTTTAGCATTTTTTTCTTGTTTTTCAATTAATAAAATTAATTTTTATTTCTTCGCTGATGGATTTTTAAAACTCCTGAGTTTTCTGTTTTCTTAAGCTTGAGGAAAAGAGACTCTTTCATATGTTTGCTTTATAATTGAGGAAGATGGTTAATTATGTACCCTGACATTTCTCCAGCTAGTATGTTTATGAGATCTAATCAGTCAGAGGCTCTCCAAAATGCAAGGAGGTTGATAAATACATTTTCTGGCAGAGCACTCATTCTTGGACACAGTTCTATACTGTGAAAGAGGGTGCAACAATTTGTGGTGGACAGCAGTTTTTGCCAAAGTAGTGCCAAATGGTCAAAAAAAAAATGTTATTGGAAGCTATTAGATGTTTGCTGAATTGGCTATGATAAGATGACCACTGGAGGATAGTATTTTTAGGACAAAACCTTATATTAAGTACTCACTAAAAAGGAGTCCCTGGGTACTGCAAACAGTTAATATACTTGGCTGCTAACCAAAAGGTTGGATGTTTGAGTCCACCCAGAGGCACTTGGGAAGAAAGATCTGGTGATCTATTTATGAAAAATCAGCTGTTGAAAGCTGTATGGAGCACAGTTCTACTCTGACACATATGGGGGTGCCATGAGTATAATCAGTTCTACAGCAGCTGATTTTTTATGCTATTCAACGTACAGGGCACTGATGATTGTAATTGCTGTGAATAAGTTGTACACCTGTTAAAAAAAAAAAAAAGTGTAGCTGCCGAGGGTGCTTATGTACAGCCAAAAACCTCACGGGATTTGGTTTCTTGGTTTGGAGGTTTAGGGTCATGGTTTCATGGAACATACCAGTTAGTTCTGATAACCTGTTTAGTGCTTCTGTTCTACCTTCTAATTTGTTGTGTAGTGCTTGGGGTCTTAAAAGCTTGCAAGTGGCCATCCAAGGCACAAGAATTGGTCTCTGCCTGAAGGGAGCTACAGAGGAAGAAGGAGAGTCAGGAATTGGAGGAGGATATGGAATGTGTGGCTAATTGCCTCCATGAACAGCTGCCTCCTTTGCCATGAGACCAGAAGAACTGGATGGTGCCCAACTACCATTAGTGAACATTTTGATCAAAGATTCTATAGAAGAATCCTTGTAAGGAGGAAAATGCAGAAAAGAATTTCAAATTCTTACTGTCTCCAGACTTCTGGAGCCAGGAGGGTTGGCTGAATCCCTGAAACTATTGCTCTAAAATAATCTTTAAACCTTAAACACCCCTGACATCTTCTTAAAACCAAATAGTAGTTTAGCTTAACTAGTAAAAAAAAAGTCTGCCTTGAGCATTATACTCTTTTAAAAGAGCTATCTATATGGGATCAAAGTGACAACAGCAACTTGAAAGATCAGCTAGGAACCTTAGTGGGCGATTAATTTATGTCAGTAGGGGGAGAAACAACTCAAAAAAAGAGGGTGAGAGTGGTTTAACACAACTCGAAGAAATTACACAGTGTCACTAAATGGTACATGTAGAAACTGTGGAGTTGGTGTATGTTTTGCTGTATATATTCTCAACAACGACAAAGTAAAATTTTTTAAAAAGTGCAGAGCATTGTCTTGTATTTTGTTTAATCCTCACAACAGTTCTGCATGGTTTTTTTTTTTTTTAGCGCTGCTTATATGCCAACACAGTTCTTAGCATTTTAACATGTATTAAATCATTTAGTCTTCACAGCAACTCAATAAGGTAGGTACTATAATGTTTCATAAAAATGGAGATACAAAAGTGCATGTATTTGTAGCATTAAGACAAAATGAGATATTGTTATGCATGTTTTAATTGGTGAAACTTCAGCTTTTTAATCAGGTGTTCGTTGAATTAAGAATGCTCAGTTGTGATGAAAAGGAATGAGATCAAAGAAAAGGTATAAAATCCTGAACCTTTACTTTTGAAGATTATAGCTAAAAGGTAAGGTGTAATTAGGAATCGTGATATATTTTGTTTGAGTGAACATGGCTATCCTCTCCCAGTAGCAGGTATCAGGAAAAACTTTTTGGAAGATAGCACAAAACAGTTAACCTGGCAGCAAAGGTCTAAAATTTTATTAACTCTAACTTTTAGTTAAAACATCTGAGTGTGTTGTTTTTTTAAACCTTATTGTGAAATATGCAGTCAGCAAAGTTTATAAAACAAATGGCTAGCTTATATTACTGTAAAGCAGACTCCCTGAATACTTGGGTAACCTCTTCCAAGATTATAAAATAAAATGTTACACATATGCTAGAAACCTTCCACGTGCCACTGACCTTTATGATAATTACTTTTTGTTTTTGCTTATAGTTTACCACCTAAGTATGAATCCCTAAACCTGCGTTTTTGTTTTGCTTGTTTTTGAACTTTATATAAAAAGTTTTAAATGGTTATGTGTGTTTTTGCGTTTGGCTTCTTTCATTCAACATTGTGAGGCTGATCTGTGTCATTGCATGTAGCTACTATTTGCTGTATTGTATTCTAGAGTATGAGTATGCCACAGTCTATTTTTTCTAATATTGAGAAGCATTTTGGTTGTTTCCAGTTGGAAATAATGCTGCTATGAACTCGTACATTTATACATCTATTTCTAGTGTGTACATATGCCTGATAGTGGAATCTGGTCCAACTCTCATTAAAGAAATTCTTGTTTTACAAATGAAGAAATTTTAAGCCAGAGAGAGTAGCAAAATAATTCAGGGTCACACTACTTAATGGGAAGTTGGGATTAGAACAGTTGTGTTGTTGTGTGTAGGCGAGTCAACTCCAGCTCATAGCAATCTATATGACGAGTAGAACTGCCTCATACGATTTCCTAGGCTGTGATCTTTATGGGAACACATAGCCAGGTCTTTTCTCCCGCAGAGCAGCTGGTGGGTTTGAACTGCTGACCTTTCAGGCTAGTAGTTGAGTGTTTAATCATTGAGCCACCAGGGCTCCTTAGAGTAGTTATATTATGCTGCTTCTGTTTTTTTTTTTTTTTCCTATTTCTTTTCCATCTATTATTTTCAAGCATAATAAGAATCTTTAAAGGGAGATAGTGAATTTTCCAAATGTGTTTTGATCTCATGATACAAGTATTCCATGAAACATATCTCATTTGATGCAGTTTTAAAGATAAATTCTAATTTCTTTAACCTGTCATTCAAAATATTTTCCACCTTGACTGTCACCATGCCTCTTCAGGCATCTTTGGTTGTCTGTCTGCTTCCTCCTATTTGATCATAGCATCCACTTTTCTGTTTTACTTTTTTCCTTGGGATTAATTAATTCCCTTATCATCAAGCAAAGTTTATCATGCTTTAAGGGAAAGCTTAAATATTATTTAGTTATCAAAACTTTAAAATGTTTCCAGAATTATGGGCCAAACAAATCTTCATTTATAATTTGCATATTCATAATTACTGTTGAGTTGGAGCATATTTTCATGTTTATTGTCCATTTGTGTTTATTTCTCTTTATTAATTGGTAATATTCTGTTTTTGCCTTTTTTTTTTTTTCTTTTTAAAAGTGTTTTGTAAAATCTAAGTATTGTTCTTTTGAGTATACAAGGTAAAATAGTTTCTCCAAGTGAGTTGAGTGGCTAACATTTAAATATGTTTATGGTATTTTCCTTCAAAAAAATAATTAAAATATTTCTGTCATCATTTTTCCTTTAGGACATTTGGAATTTATGACATGGCATGGGACTGCATACTCATTCAATAATATAAAAGTGGTTTTTTTCCTTCTAATTGTTAAACAGTTTTAGCATCAAAAGCTTAGCACTTAAACATAGCTGAAGTGCATGATGTCAAGTAGTGACATAAATTATTTTTAATGTAAAGTGAGTTGTCCCAGTATCATTTATTGAATGATCTTTTTGTCACTAATTTGGTATACCTATTGGGGTCTTCTTTTTATTTATTCCTCTTGGGGTCTGCTGAGTTTTTTGGATCTGTAGATTAAAGTATTTATCAAATTTGTAAATTTTTTTGAAGTGGTGTAAGACAGCATTTATTTATTGTGTTCATGATTTTTTGTGTCAGGAATTCAGGCCGGGCACAGTAGGGATGACTGGTCTATGCTGCATGTATATGGCATCAACTGCTTGAGTGGGTGGAATGGCTCAACAGGGGCCATATGTCTGGGGCCTCAGTTCTCCATTCACTGTCTGCTGGGGCTGGAATGTCCAAGATGGCTCCATCAATCCCAAGTCTAGTACCTGGCCTGGGATGGCTCAAAGAGTGGAGAACTGGCTGACATTGCTCTCTCCCTTGTGGTCCCGGGTAGTTGCACTTCTTACATGGCAGCTGGCTTCTGCTAGAGTGAGGTTTCTAATAGAGTGCTTAAATAGGCCCAGGCAGAATTGTGAACATTTTTGACCATTGTTTCTTTAAATGTTCTCTCTTCCCAATTTCCTATCACCTTCCCTCCTGAGACTTTAATTACAGGATGGTAGATGGCTTAAAAGGAGCCCTGGTTAAGTGCTCGGCTGCTAACCGAAAGTTCAGTGGATCGAATCCACCAGCTGCTCCACAGGAGAAAAGACCTGATGATCTGCTTCTGTAAAGATTACGCCCTAGGAAGCCCTATGACGCAGTTCCACTCTGTCCTATAGGATCCGTTTGAGTAGATTCTGACTTGACTCTGACTTGACGGCAGAGGGTTTGGTTTCCTTTTGGTTCTGCGTACGTGTATTTCCTTTATGGACAGCAAAAATCAAGCACAAGTGTTTCACCATGGATTTATATTTGATGCGAAAGAATTTTAAGGTATTTTGTTCTCAAAAAATGTAAACAAGCTTGATTCTGAAAATGAGATTTGGATGTGTTAACAGAAATACGTAAGTGCCAGTTCATGGAATAATACTGAGGTGAAGTTGCAGGTTTAGAACACAAGAAAGTATGGTATAATTAAAATAAAGTGAAGGGGAAAGTCTCAGCCTCTTCACTTTACAACTTATAGCAATGCCTTTGTGTATGTTACTTTGGCAGTAGTTGCCAAGTACTGTAGTCATTGCCTGAATTCAGTGGGAATTTGGAAATGAATAAACTGAATGAAAGTTTGCATTTGGTTCTTTTAAACTTTGAAAACTACTTCCTCCACCTCAACCCGAAGAGGGAGATTTTGCCTAGAAGGGGTGATGTTGATCTTGAGTTGAGGAAGACTGTGAATGGCTTGGGCAACTAATTAAGACTTATGGAAACAATTTTATTCCATAAATATTATTGAGCACCTACTATGTGACCAGTTGCATTCTGTTAATTTTATTAAGGCTATATCTTGTGAATAGTGGGCCAGCACTGTCATCTGTCCGACGATCAGAACAGTTTTTCACCTTCAACTCTGATGCTGCTATTCTAGGATCTTAATTTCTAACCTGTTTTTCATTATCAATTCTGTAAGACGTGTAGACAAAATTAAATTAAGTTAGTTTGTGTGATTACCAGCACTACAGAGCAATTTTAATTACCTAAAGGTTTGAATAGAGTTGAATGTTAAGGTCATTGGTTAAATAAAATTTTTGTTTTAATTTGTACTTTGATATTAAGCCCTTAAATCACTTACAGATAATTAGGATTTGGCATTATCAAGATTTGTGTTTTTAATTGTGGTGAAATATATATAACAAAGCATTTGCCATTTAAACCATTTTTTACGTGTTAAACCCAGATTTTTGTTAGTTTTTGTCATTTTCTAAATTTTCATCCCAGCATGATATGTGACCTTGGTTCTACAATTTTTGGATTGTTTTGTTTACTTCAATCACTTATATAACTATATAGGACTACAGAATTAAACTAACTTTAACTTTTCTTTCTGTTATTCTGAGTATTCCTATTTAAATGACTTTTATGGAGGCCTGTTTTCTTTCCAAATTAATTTTATTTTAATTTAAAATATTTTCATGGTGAAGTATTTTAAAGTATGTTACAGACATTGTGATACTTCAGCCCTAGTTTAGTATGTTTTTATAAAAATGACTTTCCCTGTAAAGCCAAATAAGTATAATATCACCTCAAGAAAATAACAGGAGCTTCTTAATATATCCATTCCCCAGTCTGTTCAAATGCCCCCAGTTGTCCCCAAGTAGTTTATTCAAAGTAGAATCCATACATTGCATCTGCCTGTTATGTTCTTTAAGTCCCTTTCTTCTGGATGCTGACTTGCTGGATAATTTTTCCTAAAGAAGGATTGATCTCATTGCTTCTTCATGCTGTCATTTACTGTGTTCATTTAAATCTTATAAATCTTGTATTCTGGAAATTATGTCTAAAGGGTCGATTTTTATAAAGAATATACCATAGGTGATGTTGTATAATTAATATTGCATCACCTCGGGAATTACATAATTGGTTGTCACACTATTTGTGATTCTAAAACAACTGGATTAAGGTAGTGACAGCCTGATCCCTCCATTATGCAGTTAATGTTTTTTTCCTTGCCTTACCAGAAAGTAATCTATGTGATACTAATTTCGATATGATACAAATACAGAATTCTCTGTCAGCTATTCAGTTAAAGATTTTAACACCAATATTTGCCTGAATCAGTAACTTTATTGTTGTTGTTAGTTGCCATTAAGTTGATTCCTACTCATAACAACCCATGAACAGAGTACAGCTGTTCCATAGGGTTTTGGGAAGCCGATTGCCAGGCCTGTCTTTCATGGTGCCTCTTGGGGGGGTTCAAGCCACCCAGGGAAACCTACAACTTTATTAGGGGTCACAAAATGATTTTTTTAAGTTCTGCATTTTATTAACTGAGGTTCTATAAAGTTTTAGGTCCTCCTGCTGATCTTGTCGTTTCAGCCATGATCAAACAGTTTTCCATTGCTCGTCGAAAAGCAACTTGTGTTTATGTGTTTCCCATAATGTCTTCCCTTTGCCATCTCTAGTAATTCCTGTCCCTGGTTCTTTCCCTCTTCTATCCTCAAAGGCGTTACTTTGCTGTTT